CTGTTGAAGAAATGTATCCAAAGCAATAGCTTTAATTTGAGAGCATAAAGCAGTTTGTTCCTTGCAGAAACGAGTGGGTATGGCCTAATGAGGAATCAGATTTGATTAGCATCTGCTTGCTGTATTGTTCTCTTGCCTTCAAGTATCTAATGATCTACCCTTGGGATAGAGTAGATCCATCCTTCCATAAGACAGAGGCAGTCTTGTTCACTATGGTGATATCTGTGTTCCTCTGGTGGTTGTTGGATTTTTCATGTGGACTTGGGGTTATTTCTTCTATGAATATGTTCTGCTGGGTGCAGTTCTGCAGATGCATCCAATATTCAGAATTTTACTTAAGTATTGAAATTTTACTTAAGTATTGAACCAAAGTTCAAAAAGCAACAACTAGTGGGCAGCTTTTAACCCAGAGCATAGTGTGAAAGTATGTTCAAATATTAAGGTTGGTGAAGATGATGTAATTGGTGTATTCAAGGGTATTTTTTTAACCATGCTGCTATTAAAACCTTTTCTTCCACCAGCAGTGCTGAACTAAGCACCTGCTGCCTGCTCACTTGAGCTTGTACAATTGCTTATGGGGCCACACAGAGAATGAAGAACAGATCTGGGTTAAAAATAGTTTGTTGATAAAGTAGTATTTTTAACTGGGATCAATCCCCTGGTCTGGTTTGCTATGCAAACTGCAGACTGTTGTACTTGATTATCGTAATCATTGTAATGTTTCACTTCTTATGGAAAAATAAGACAAATAGATAAGTAATGAAAAAATTACATTTCAAAAGTACTTTAACAATAAAAGATGGTGATTAGTAATGTGGATCAGCAGTTGAATCAGACTAGGAAAATCATGGCTTAAAAACCAAATCAGACTGAGTTTCTATCTCCTGTAATTCATGACAGTTTTTTGGAATTAAATACACCAAAACCTTTTTGTTAGTCACAATTTCTGTGTGTACATATATGCATGTATTTAAGACTAGCTATAGGAATTGAGCAGTACTCTGACTTATTGTATCTTAAGAGCAACTTAGAAAATTATCTTATGTGAAAAATGTCTAGCCTAGTTACAGCTTCTTTATGTTGGTACATTTAACTCCTTCCCTGTCAGATCTGTCAAAAACCATTTTTTTTCCATGGCAATTCTAAATTGGACTGATAGCACGTGGGACTGGATTTCCAAAATCCAGTGGCTTGTGAATCCTGCCAGATGAGAGAGTGCCACAAGGCTCTGGGAGGGTTAAAACATAAAGCAAAGAAAGCTTTGCTTTTCTCCTTCTCTCCTACATCCAGTTTTTCAGAATCATTTGTTTCATCAACATTTCATGATGTCGATGCAAGTTTGTTGCTGAAACTTTTTGCTTTTTTCTTAGATAGTGTGTTGATGCAATAAAACCAAGAAAAGCCTGTACCTTTCTTAACAACCCCTTTGTTAGCTGTGACACTTTTTTTCACTTTAAGTAAGATGCAATTAATGCAAACAGTTTAGTATGCCTGTGATGGAACACTTATACTCAATTATGAGCAATTTAGCCTTTTACCTTAGCTTTGGAAGAGGAACCTGGGATCTGAAACTCCTATTTGTATAAAAGTCAGGATCATTGAATTTTCAGAGGTGATTGTGTTGTGGGTTGTTTGGGGGCGGGGGGGGGGGGGAAACGAAAAACAAACCCACCTTTTTTGGTATCTGATGACATGATTGTTCTTAAAAGTCTCCAATTATTCTGACAATAATTGTATTAAATCAGGGTAGTGGTCTCTAATACGATTTGTTGCTTTCTTAGATTGAAGAAGGGGACCTTATACAAAATTTTTGTTGGCGTTTCAGCTCTATCAACTACTTCAGACAATACTGACTGACCTACAACGCTCCTGTCTAATGTTAAAAAAATTGCTACTCTGTGGAAATAACTGACTAAATTTCTTGCATGTCTCCTTACAGGTAGTTTGTATTGGTTCAATAGCAGAATTGGAAGAGCTATCTGGAGTGAAAGTCACTGATCTCCATCGAGAAAGGTCAGTCACAGAGACTGTTAACTAGTTACTAAAAACAGTTGAACAGACATAAAAAATACTGGTTTTCTTTGCCCAAACCCTCAGAAATAGATTCAGGGAAAATAGAAAAGTAGTAAGAGGTTTTGTGAATAACATGAATAAATTTTCCTTTCTTCTGTTTCGGATGCTGTTCATGCAAAAAAGTCTCTAAAATAGCTTTAAATTATAAAAATTTTCAAAGGAAGTGCTGACCTTTTTGAAGAATCATTAAAATTAAAACCAAAACTCCTGTCATACCTAGTGTGCAAGCATAACGTTAACTTTTTGTGCTAATTCTTGGTTTTGTTTAGAATTTGTCAATCTTTCTTTCCCATAGTATTGATCACCTAACTATCCCTTCACGCTGTGGTAAGGGCTTACTGCACCGGGTCCCTGAAGTTTTTGATTGCTGGTTTGAGAGTGGAAGCATGCCTTATGCACAAGTCCATTATCCATTTGAAAACAAAAAAGAACTTGAAGATGCTTTCCCTGCTGACTTCATTGCTGAAGGCATTGACCAAACCCGAGGATGGTAATTTTCTGCCACTTTCTTATGTGATATTATTTCCCTGTGTCTAACACTATTACATCTGGATGATCCTTTAATGTTGTATAGAGAAGCGTATGATTTCTTTTTTTCAGTAAAATGCAAGGTATTCTAACGCTTGGTGACAAAAATGTTGCAGAAAGACATGTTAGCAAGCAATCTTCCCAGCTCTTGTGGAAAACATAATTAGGTAATGGGGCAGATCTTTAGCCTGGTAAGGAAGAATCTCAGCAGCTGAATTATCATAGAACTTGAGTTATTGACTAGAAACAGAACAGTAATTGAGTCAGTTGAAATGGAAGTCAATGTTTTGAGGATTTCAGGCCACTGTGTAGGCTAGTAATTTTTGCCCCCTAGATTAAATTTGAATTTTGGGTTTATATGAGTAGGGAAAAAACAAATTAAGTTAAACCTTATGTTGTTAAGATCTTATAGTGTACAAAAATCAAATTTTCTAACTGTAAACTTCATCTGCTTATTTGATTCCTCTCTAGATAAATGCTGTTCAATCATTGATGAAAATTTTTCTCTAATTTCCAATTTTCTCTGGGTAGTTTCTCATACATACATTCATGCATGCATACATACAGTTTTAGTTTTGGCATTTTTAAGTGTTTATTCTATTTTTGAAGCTTGAGGTTGGCTGTGAAAACTGACAGATTTTTTTAAGATGAATTTTTGTGTTTTCTAGATTAGTACATTTGACTATGTACAAGTAGAACAAGTACTCCAGTAACTTGAGTTATTAGAATTAAATAAACTAAATTCCTCTGGAGCATGGTTGGTACCTCCCTTTGCCCACTCCTCTACTCTCCCAACCAACCAACCCAAACAAAGCAGTAAGAGTTGGGTTTTTGCATGTTTGTGAAGTTGAGGGCAAGGTTGATAAATACTCTCAAAGCCAAGAGGCTCGAACAAGGAAGCATTTGAGGCATGATGCTAAATAAAAATAAGGTTCATGAATATAGCAAAAGGTGTCTTCACTTTGCAACCCCTTACTTGTGATGCAAAAAATTATCTAGGTCCTCAAAATGGAAGTTACATTTGCAAGTTTGGCAGTTAGGGAGGGACCACTTAAGTCTCACTTAGTGAAACATGGACTCCTCATGGCATATTAAATACTTTTCAGAATATAACTGCACCTTACCTAGTGACTGCTATGCATAATGTTTTTAATGGGTGCATTAATTGTAATTTAGATGCCAAAAACTGAAAACAAATTAAAAAAATTCGACAACATGTAATCGTTCTTACACTGTGCAAGGGAGCTACTGAATTGTAAAAGCTCAACAGAATTAAAAAATGGTTTGGGATTTTTATGTGGATACAAAATCTATTCCTGATAGTTATAATTCCAGTAAAAATATAGGAGGAATGATAAATTTTAGGTTTCAGGGTTTAGCTATTTGAGATTGGGATGTCACAGTGGATTAGTATGTCACACACACTGCAGTGTTTCTTTTAGTGCTATCCTTTGAAGCACGTGTGGGAGACATGACAGATGAAAAGATAAGTCTGATCTCATATGTGTCTGATAAAGCTCTCTAGTGCCGTTAAAGAATGCATTTGTAATTTTTACGCAAGTTGGCCTTTTTATAGTATGGTATTAATCTAAACTTGAGTGCAGTGCAACATCCAGATCCACTATCATGTTTCCAGCTTCTAACATTCTTTTCTTTTTTAAATAGTAAATGTAACCTGTGGATAAGCAGCTTCTTTCCCTTTCCTTAGTAGGCTGAACTGAATCATCTTGCTAATTCAACTGATTGGCCCTGGAAAAATAACAAGAAGTCCAAGCTGGTGGTAATGCCAGCGGTGACTCTGTGGTTGTAGACATACACCCACTGTGCTTCAGTTAGAGCCCACACACTTGTGTGGTGTACTGTAGGCAGTGTGCAAATGGAGACTTTCACACTGCAATCTGGAGTAGATTACTTTTTGGTTTTAAAAACAGCATAAGAGTTACTGTAAGTCTTCGCCATATCCAAGTCTGTCTCATCTGTTTGTGGGTGGAATATCAAAACACTTGCCTTGATAGATGATGCTTATATCTTTCCCACAGTGCTCATGTCTGTTAATAAGCTGGTGCTTTGATAACAGCTAGTGTTCTGTGATTTGCAAAAGAGCCTTATAGTCTTGTGAAAGAAAGAAGGAATTAAGGTGTGAGGTGGTGGGGTGTTTTTTGGTAAAAGGTAAAACTGTCTCAGGCTGTTCTTAAGAATGGTTCTCATTCTAAAATGGTTAGGCCTTAGTGATTTTTTTTTTATGACTTTCTGCATGGATGTGAGAAAGAGCTGAATCATATTTGTTAAAGCGAGAGGGGAAAAAAATCTTACAGTAGTTGGGTTGGAAGAGTGGCAGTCCAGACAGATTGGTAGGAAAGGCTCTATCTCTGTATATAGGCAGATGCAAGAAGATTTATAGTCATGGTCAGAATGTGGTGGCCTATGGGGATTTCACAGCAGAAGGTTTTTGGCTTGAACCACAGGATTATGAATGTACCCACAATTATTCAAGAAAGGAGAAAATGGGGAGGGAGCACCTTCTCCCTTTTTGGGGGAGTGGAAGAGGAGCGAAGAAGAGCAAAGAAGTGGACCTCTCTCTCTCTCTGTGGTGTTAAGGGGTTTTCTGCTATTGTTTTGGCTGATAGCTATATATCTGCAAGGACATAACTAGAAGCAGTCTGAGCTTTGGTGAATAGAAGATGAACCAGCAGAGATAAGTTGAGGAAGTCATCAGAAACAAATGTGTCTGTGGCCAAGATATTTCAAAAATAAGGTGCAGAGAGACACACCTTTAAAATATTCAGAGTTAATGAGGTGAATTCTTTTAAAAGGATAACTCTTCTCATTCTTTCTCAGATTATATCAGAACGGTGTGTAAACCAGTGGATCACAGGAGCTCAAAGACACTTATAACTGTCATCAACTAAGGTACCTCATTGCTGAGGCTCACCGGCTTTGACAATGCAAATAACAAAATTTGTGCAAAGCCCACAGTCAGTCTGTACAATTTTCCTAATACAAACAGTATTGAAATGTCTTCTAGTTGGTTCTGCTTTGTTCTTTTTAATTGCAAATGCACCTGCTCTAATGTGAGTCTGCAACCAGTTTGCAGAAAGCTATGGGAGCTTGTCAATGAGGTACCTTCATACTAAATACTAAAGAAGTACTGCTATGTTTGTAATGAACTGTCAGTCTTGTAGGTTTGAGGTGTTGATCATCTGAGTAAGAGCTCAGACATTTGTGTTTAGGGGGTTCCTTAAGAAGGTTAAAACTAAAAACAGGGATTTTGAGTGCATGTATTTGTGTGCAGGTGGAGGAGTGTTGGTTAAAATTCATGAAATTACAATGCAATTTAATAAAGAGAATTTGTCTCCTGCAGTGTGAATTGAGGTGATTTTGAGAGTTAAAAACCTGTCTGAGAGATAAGCATCAGAATTGTCATGTAAGCCACTTAGTAAATGCAGTAACGCACACAGCAGCCTTTACAGAGCTTTGGGCCCTGAAGTGTCAGAATAATGCTTTTGCAGTTTTAGGCAGCTTTTTGATGAAAACTACTTTAGAATAGGCAGATAGACTCCCCCCCCCCCCCAAAAAAAAAAGTGTTTCTCCACTAAATCTTTATGCAAATGCATAGTTGTGAGGCATAACCTCCTGTGCCTTATTCTAAATTAATTAGCTTTTGTATAATCATCGGCTGTTTTAAGGTTGCTAAGCAATCGTCAGCGTGATACTCTTTTTTAAGCAGGAAAGCTGTAGCCCACCATCCAGTTATTTTCTTAAAAGTAATTACCAGCAGTGCAGTTATAGAAGCTCATAGATACCTCCTTTGGTGAAGGTTCTGACTCCTGAGTATGAAATTATCACGTCATCTTGCACCTCCATTTCTCAGATATAATCATATATCGACATATCGAACGTTAGGTGCCTCTGTTTGCTCCAACGCTGATTTCTTAAGTGTCCTAGATAGTTTATACAGGCATTGTAAACACATCAAATGGTGTGGGGGGGAACCCCCTACTGCCCTTTCTTGTGGGGAATGCCTACATTCTTGTATTTTCTAGTGATAGCTAATTTAACCAGCTAGGTTTGTTTGATCGGAAGGAGGCTCTGCTCACTTTTGCTAACTTGCTTTTATGCTCCCAGCAGTAACTGTTCTGTTGTCTGCTAGGTTGAAGCATACACACATTCAAACAAAACCCCTCACTCTATCCCTCCCTCTCTCTCTCTGGACCAGTCCTGTCTGCTGTGTTTGTTCCTAGCTGATCCTGTGTTCAGAGGTTTACAGTGAGAAAACAGGGAACTTGTTCAGGGACAGAGTTCCCCTTTCTATATTAAAGGGGAAGATGCTACAACTTTCTTCTTCATGACCTTCCTAATGCTTACTATTACAATTTTTAAGCCATCTTGGACTAGTAGGTCACAGCTGAGCAAACAGCATGATATGCTGCAAAGAAGAAAAAGGTCTGCTTACAGTAACCTCCTCTTCTGAGTCTTTGTCACATAAATATTCTACATACTTAAATTTTAACTTTGCTAGAGTAAAACAACGTAATGAAAAATTTCTTTAGTAATATAGGACATGCAGATTTTAGCTTGGCATATTTAGAAAGTCACGCTTACATTGTCTCTTGTTTCAGGTTCTACACTTTGCTGGTGCTGTCTACTGCTCTTTTTGGAAGGCCTCCTTTCAAGAATGTAATTGTGAATGGCCTTGTTCTTGCCAGGTTGGTATGTCAGTCAGTTCTTTCCTGAACAGATTTTTAGTCAAAGAATATTTCAGATAAGTCCATGCGAATTGTAAATTAAATCTGAAATGGGCTTTGGAGCTGTTAAGGCTTGTCAGGGAGATATCGGTGTTGCTGGAGGTAAGAGGCACCTTGAGAGTGTGAGGTTTACACATCCCAGCTATCTGTTGCGCTAGGTTCTTTCCAGCAGGATTAGTCCTTTCTAGAGAGAGAGAAAATGAGTAACAAGGCAGAATAGAAAAGAATAGGAAATAAATGGTACCTGTTATGCAGAGTAAAGGGGATTATAAATGTAGTTTAGATGCAATTTTAAATAAATTAATTCTATTTGTTTCCTTTTTATTTTCAAATAAAGCTTTGCCAGTGGGCTGGAGGGATTGATTCAAAACAAGTGCATCTTCCCTCAGCTTTGGTAGGAAAGAGAGATTTTCTGCTTAGATTTGTAACTTGAGAGCCTCTTGGGTTGTTTGGGGGTGTTTTTGGGTTTTGTTTGTTGGTTGTTTTGTTTGTTCCCCAGTTGTTCTCATGGGTTCAGCCATCATACTGAAATGATGTGTTAATATATAATTATGTCTGTGCTACCAAGAACATAATAGGACAGAAAAATTAAGCTGGATTTGAAGGGCCTTTTTTCTTTATTAATGTATTACAAGAATTCTGGGAATTTATGCTTACGTTCTAATATTTTCTAGTGATGGCCAAAAAATGAGCAAAAGGAAGAAGAATTATCCTGATCCAATGAGTATTGTAAATAGTTATGGAGCCGATGCACTAAGGTAGGATTTCTTTAATATATGTACAATCTGATATGTTAGCTTTCTGTTCATAGCAGACATCTACCAGGAGGGCTACTTATGGGTTTTTGACAAGTAGCAGTAGGAAGAAAGTTAATTTTAGGAACTTCTAGAGCACTATGGCAGCCAAATAGCTGAAAGACTGGATGACTCAAAAGAACAGTTACAGTGCCTGGACTTTCTATACCCTTGTCTTATCTCCCTCAAGGCTGGTAACAACCAAAGGTGACATGCTGACTGGAAGCCTTTTTTCAGAAAATGTGTGTTCGGTTTGTACAGAATCCTTCCACTCAAGCCAGCACTGTCTGCTATTGCAGCTAATAGTCTGAGTTGACCCAGGGAAAATTTGAATAAAATCTTTGAGAACAATACTACTAGTTTACTTTTAAGTCGTTATTTTAGGGAAGGATTACTGTATAATGCACAGAAATGTTTGTTTGCTGCTTACACTATACATTTTCTAAAGAGAAAGCATTTCTTTTCTGTTGATGTAAATATACAGTATGTACCTAATAGTAGTGAAACCAGAAAAGCAGAAGTGGAGCAGCCTAATGTGTATATGTAAATTGTCCTGGTCAAACAGAGATGAAACACAGTTCAAGTGTTTCATTAAAATTATACTAATGTACAAACATAATTATGCAGTCACCTGGTACTTTGGCTAGATGCACTAACTACATGCATGAAGTGGTGCCTTGAGGTAAAGGTACAATGCAGACATTTTAATAACTGTGGGAGTACACTACTTACACATTTCTCAAGAGCCCTGTAATTCTTGCCATATATAAGAAAACATTAAACTATCACACACATTGAATTGTATGTTACAACTATACATGGTAATGAATGGGCTGAATGAAAAGTTTAGTGTACCATGGTTTTTTGTTTATTTGAGAAAGATGGTTGTTGCTTGTTCTAGATAATTTATACACATAGATGTGAAGTTCCTTATTGTTTCAAGCTTTAGCATTTAAAAGACCTAGTAAATTATCTTCTCGTATGTGTTTACAACGGAGACTTGGGTGGATTTCTTAAATTTGATCAAGATTGTTCTTTACAAATAATCAGGGTGTATTAGCAGAATATCAGTGAATAGGTAGCTGGAACAATATGAGTGAAAAAGGTTGGAGTTACTCATATTGGAGTTTTTTTAAATCGCAGGTGAAGTTTCTGTTGAAAAAATCTGCCTTTTTTATAAAACAAAACAAAAATCTCAAACACCAGAAGTTACACCTCCATTATTCATGGTTTTTTTTTTTATTTCTAAAAAGCTAATTCATTTTTCTGCCTGTGTACTCATTCTTTAATGTCACATTTATTTATACATACACCTACATAGAGAGTACAAAGCATTGCAGACTAGGTTCATTTATGGAAGGAGCTCTGCAATTCAGTTGTCTCTGCTTATTCACTGAAGCGCTTGATGTGTTCTGTTTATAGAAAAAGCTACAGCTGATTTTTTTTTTTCCTTGGCACTGTTTCCCCGCGGAGTTACTTTAGCTTTTGCAGTACATATATATATTTTTCTTTAACTACAGCTTCAAAGTATTCCTAGCAGTAGCTTGATAAATAGATCAGCAGAAAATACACATTAAGTTGTTTGAGTAAATATGGAATTGAATAGAAATGGCAAACAGAAGAAATAACAGCACAGTAAATTTAACAACCCAACTTTAGACTTCCTGAAACTTGAATCCTGTGTGAATCTGTAGGAATTGTAAAAATCAGTTATATCTCAATATTCCTAAGACCTATGACTTGGGTTGGATAGCTGCCAAAGTTGAAGTACGTCAGAAAGAGAATTTGCTGGTCATAGTATTTACAAGCCCTTTGCTTTCATGTATCCCGAGGTAAGTATTGCTGTTAGAAGTGATGTGTTGCATTCTCTTCTCAGAAATCTCTTCTTAAAATGCAGAAGAAATAACATAATGCCACAGACTACTGTTTGAGAGAGGTGAAAAGGAGGTTACTTTATTGTTTCTCATACCTTGTTAGAAAACTTGATAATACTGGTTTGATTTTGATTTTCTGCCCAATGGGTAATATCACTAGGTGTAACTGAATTGATAGAACTCTTCCTTTATCAGGTGCCTTATATCTCTTTCCATATAATAGATGTAAGTATCTCTGCATTGGAATAATTTAGGAAATTAGTAACATTTACATATTGTAAGGCAGTGTAGGGCTGCTATGTTAAAAAACAAAACCAAAAACCACCAAAACCAAACCTGTAGCCTTAGAGAGCTACATTTTCTTTACTTTCTCATGCTAAGAGCTATTTTAAGAAGACTTCAGATAGATTCTGCAGCGAGTGCTGCTGAGGTGGGTGCAAAGGAGCAATTTAGTGGATCCTTCATAGTTCTGCTTAGTTTGCATTGCTGCCTCCTCAGGAGGAAAGCAGTGGAGGCAATTTGAAATGGTCGTTATTCTAGGTAAGGCCCAAACTGGTAAAAGGCCTGGAGTATCCTGGTGTACCTTAGGGCCAGACTAGCTCTCGTATTTGGAGCAAAAGTTATGTTTGACTTCTGAATCAAATAATGAGTAATAAGCACATAAATAAGTGCGATGGGAGGTTTGGTTTAAATACATGCTTATAAATTCTAGTTTCACTTAAGGACTTAGTAGTTCATTATCATGCTTAATTGTTCTGTACTTTTGTAAATTTTTAATTTGAATTGAGATATCATGTATAAAAATACTTCCCCCCACAATACAGTACTGAAAATCATACACTCATAGAATTGTTTAGGTTGGAAAAGACCTTTAAGATTATCAAGTCCAACCTAACACTGCCAAGTCCACCACTAAACCATGTCCCTAAGTGCCACGTCCATACATCTTTTAAATACCTCCAGGGATGGCGACATAACCACTTCCCTGGGAAGCCTGTTCCAGTGCTTGACAAGCCAATGTATGCCCATTTCTGTGCTGCATTACTGTCTGTTTACTCTGGCAGCTCTATTTTTATGTATTCATTTTTATGCAAGAAGCCCTGTCCTGAAGACTGGTATTCTTGAATGTGCTGTGTCAAATCCCATTAAGATTTTAAAGACTCCTAAAGGAAGTGCCTATAAAGATATATTAGTTTAGAATCATGGTTTTTAAAGTTGAGAAAATGAGTTAATAAATTTCTATTGAGAAATGCCACAATCTTTAAAATAAAAAAATGTTTGGTTTGTTTTTCATATTTGGAAAATTAAATGAAGCATATCTAAATCAAGTTTGTATTCAGGTTTTTTTGATACCTGAGTTAAGACCTGGTTTCCTTTTGAGTTTACTTGATAGATACCAGTTTGTCTTCATAGATGGACTATTTGTTTAGGGAAGAAGATGGGATAAAGTATAAAGATGATTTTTTGTGAACTCACAGTCAGCAAGGAAGCTGGGGCACATGTTTATCTCTCCGAAATGAGGAACTGTTAGCTTGAAAGAGACTGATCCAAGGAGGATCTCCCTAGACAGGGTGGACTTCACATATAGATGGACCTCCTTGGCCAAGGTGGGCATGATTCTGTGAGGGGCTGCTTCTGATATAAGTAGTCAGCGTCACCTGAATCCTCTGCTTTGCTCTTTCAGAGCTGTTTCTGGAGCTGAGGCACATTTGTATTGGCAGGAGGTACATCCTTTGTGTCCTCTTTTGGGGCTGTTTTTCTTGAAAACACTAATTTCTGCTCTTTTACTTGGATTTGCCTCTTTTGCCTTGCTCCTCAGTCCTGTGTTTGCAATGGGCCCAAAGCTGTTTATAATTGAGGAAATTAACTAGACTGAGTAGAAAGGTACGGTGTCATTGTTAAGGAATTCAAAAGATTAGTGAAACAATAGCTGCCATTCTAAAGGTGAACACTAATTCCATGCATCCACTGCTTGTTTTATACCGTGATAGCATCTGAGCATGTGTTATCACTTCAATTAACTTCTAGAGTAAAAAAGAAAATTTAAATTCCAATTCAAATTCCATATGCAGTATCATAAAAATAATCCTGTAGTACTAGGAAGTAAATTGTCATATGTTCAATATGTTACATGCTTACAATGCTGTCTTCCTTAGAGTTCTTAGTGTGAATCTGTTCCCTTGGGTACCTTTCTCTTGCTATGCAGCTCTCTGGGGTTTACTGTACATTTAAGTGCATTTCTATCAGTATATGCAGCTTTAAGCTTTTCAGTATTGTGTTCTTATCTTGCAGGTTATACCTGATCAATTCTCCTGTGGTAAGAGCAGAAAATCTGAGATTTAAGGAGGAAGGAGTAAGGGATATACTGAAGGATGTCTTCCTGCCCTGGTACAATGCATATCGCTTTCTTGTTCAGAATGTTCAGATCCTGCAACATAAGGTACAGATCTATCAAGCATGGAAAAGCAAAGTGGAAGGGGCTTTGTGCTTTTTCCACTGTTAGAGTGAATTAGCATCATAGAGATATTTGGATTGGAAGGGAGGTCTGGGCTCTGACTCTGGAGGTCATCTGATCTTTACCTCCTTGTTCAAAGCAAGACTGGCTTCAAAGTTAGAATATACTTGTATATACTTGCTGTTAATTTGTATGTTATTTGCTGTTTTTACCCTGTTTTATAAAGCTGCAATCACCCTGCATCTTTCTCTTCTTGACCAAGGCTATTATTATTATAGAAAGGAGGAGTGGAAGGTAGGGGACTGTCAAGACATAACAGCTATCATTTCTCAGATTATGGTGCTCTTGATTCCCTTTTATTTGAGATAAATGTGATACTATTGCATTCATACTCTTGAAATTAGAGAACAAGATAGTGACTTTCAGTTTGTGGGGTTAATACATACTAAGCAATTATCTGCTGCTAGCCACCTTGCTGGGAACACCAGTTAAAAGCCAGGTACCACATGTGGTTGAAGAAATCCTTCTGAAATGTCCATGCTAAGCCTTGCTGGTTTTCTAGTAATTGTCTTATCCGTGTTTGTGTAGAAGCTTGGAGTCAGTAGGTGTCACTAATACTGCCTTGAGTGCTGCTGCTGCTTTTTCTTTGCTGTTACCCCATGTCATGTAGTCGGGCATGGCTACATTGCAGGAAGGATGCTGTTGGAGGATGGCATCTGGACTGCAAGTTTCTCTGCACTGAGAACATTGCTTAATAGCATACAGATTTAAGACAAATATAACTGCAAGTAAGTAATGAAAACAAAAGTTATTTTCAGTAGTGGCTGTTGTGACAGTTTCTTGAGCTAACTCATTTACTCTAACTTTAATTATGAATCTGCATAAAAATGTTTAACTCGGGAATACTCAATACTGAATACATTAGCTGTAGCAAGAAGATTGCCTTCTGTAACATGACAGTGAACTTTTTTTTAGAAGTTAAATTTAAATACAACTTAGAAAAAAAATGAAGAAATGGATTGGAAAGAAAGGTATATCATCATAAAAGCATGCTTTAGACTTGTAGATTACATTCGAAGTCTACTAAAAAATGCTGGATGAGTGACATGAGTTTCTACACTTTCAGAATGAAAGTAAAATTAAAACTTCTTACAGTAATTTTTCATTTAAATTGAAGATTTTATGTATATATTGTATAGTTTCTGTTGAAACAGATTTTAATCTTTCAGCTGCGATTAATGATAGAAGGTTACCACTTGTTAGTGCGGACTTTTATGGGACAGTGGGAACTAAGCGAAAAAGTTCAAACCCTGTACTATGCGTGAAACTACAGTAGCAGCCTAATCACTGTGGAGAGCTGCCATTTGAAGCAATAAAGGCAGCTGACTTCAATAAATAGTACAGTAAATAGCAGACAGATAAACGGTTTTGTCTTTTTAACAACCCCTTTTGGGAAGAAAGTCTGGTAACTTCAGATCCGAGTATTTAACAAATCTTTTCTTAGGATCCCTAGACAGCATTCATCAGACAAACTAACGTGTTGCCCCAAAAATATACTTCAGCTTTTCCTGTTTGACCCTTGAGTTATCTAAAGTGTGCTTTGCAGTTTTTTTGCTGTGATCACATAAATCTTGCAAGATCAGCTAAATTGGGGATTGAAGACCCCAGTGGAAAATCCAGGTGCTTAAGCAGATAGTTTTGGTAATTCAGCAGATGTAATTTTTCTTTCTAAATAGATAGTGAAACCATTCCTATTCACCATATTAGGCAAAAGAATGTGCTATTGGAGGTGATAGTGCTTAAATTAGATTTCATGCACAGGCTTAAACAACTTTTTCGTTGTATTCTGCCTCCTGCAAGAGAGGAACTACAATCCCAGTGTTCTGGATGAAGTCTAATAATAATTTTATACTTACCGTAGTTACCACGGTAATTGTAGTTGGTTAAATGATTGCTGACCTCACACTGGGATTGCTGCACTTCTGGGTGTGCAGATGCATTTTTTTTTTCTAAGAATCTTCTCCTTTATACTATATAAGTGGATGCATAATTACTGGGTCGAATAATCTAAACAGATTTTTTCGTCTGGGCTCTGAGGGAAGGGAAAGTCAAAAGACTCTTAAAACCAGATGTTAAATACTGTTTGAAATCTGAAAAAAAAAAAAAGAAACAAACCCTGTTCTCAACCAGTCATAAGAATGTTCACATGGAAGAAGACTGTAGGCATGGACAAGTGTGCTTACTTGTGGTCTTGCTTGCAATGCCCTACAGAATCAGTAAATTGTTATGAAATTTCTCAGATGAGCGCACATATCAGTATTCTGGAAAGCAGCAAAATGCACTATATGCATGTTGGATGCCTAAAAATTCCACCTGTTTTTTCAGGTTGTTACATTCTTCTATGTTTTAATCTGTTGAAATTGTCACATGCTCTGAAAAAATAATTATATTGTTTATATGATATGCCCTTTCCCCAAATAGAATTCATCTTCATACTACGTTTCTTATAAATGCTTCAGATCCTCCTAGATGAAGGAGTTATATAAATTCAAGAGTCCTACCCTGTGTCTGGAAGCTATGACTTACGCTGCAAACAGGGAAAGAATGACTGCATACTGTTGTGTGCTGTACTACTTTTTATCTGGTTTAACAGATCAAAATAACTGGCCTCCTTTGTAGTTGAAGGTATGGTGTGGTGAAATCAGTAGCAGTGGGAGTCAGGTTTTCCTTAGCTATTTCTCTTACATACGTGTTTCTGGAATTTAATGTCCTCTCTTAGGAAACCAGTGTAACACAGTGAAGGTGACAAAATACTAGTGGCTGACAGGTGACTCGATATAGAGGTTTGAATATATACCCTTATGTCTTGAAAATGTGTTGTGTGTTTTTATGTTGATGATAGGATGAGGGAAGAGAATTCCTTTACAATGAGAACACAGTTAAGGAGAGCAATAACATCATGGATAAATGGATTCTTTCTTTCACCCAATCACTCATTCAGTTCTTCAAAGCTGAAATGGCAGGTATGCACATTTGGTCGGGTGTGTGTATGGGTGTTTAATTTTTGATTAGAGAACTAACCATTTCATCCAGAGATTTCCAGATTCCACATGAGACTTACTGTTCAGATAAAAGGAAGGAAATCTTTAACCAGCTACCATAATACATGGAATGCTGCTTTCATGGGTGTTAATACAGATTTTGCTATGCTTGTTCATGAGATTTCAAGAAGTGATGAGGCTTTTTTTTGTCACAGCTAATCCTATGAGCTCAGTGATGTAGATTGTTGCTGCAACAAGATCTTCTGCAGTGCTTGGAGCAATTAATAACATTATAATAGTAACTGAAAGCAGTGAAAAGGAAGCCAAATAGAATTTGGGGAAGCTTTAAAAAAAGGATAAAATGAGCAGTGCTCAAGTTAGCTAAATAAAATAATTTTGAGAGGTACATGAGCATGGGGAATAAATTTTCCCCTGAATAGTTCCATGGAACTTACAAAGGGTTTCTTACTTACTATTACAAAGGGTTTCTTTGTAATCATATTGGGAGTGTGTGCAGTAGGACAGAATAGCATTAGGATACTGCATAGCTGTAAGAAGATACTCTCTTGGTTTTTCTTCCTGCATGTTGTCTTTTCCATCATCCCATACCTCTCAATGCTCACATTCTATTAAGACAATATTAATTGCAAAGAGAAGGTGCTGCAAGAGCCCCCTGAAGTAGTTGGTCTGATCCAGTAAGCTTACAAACTTGCAGATAAAGTCACAATGGGATTTGAAGATCTTTTGATGCCTTTTAAGGGCACTAGAAACCTAGATATCGGAAAGAAGGTGGCTTGCCATTGTAGTTACTGTTTATGAATAAACAAGCAATCCAATGCCCGTGATCTTAAGTTGCCCTCAGAAGATTTGTAGAAGCCTTCCGTGGGTGTGCTTGGGGAAGGAAGGTATTAGTGGGATAATAGATAATGAGGAAACCGCTAAATGCCAGATCTGAGTTTATGAGGACACAGGACAGTCCTCCTCTGCCTCAGTCATCTCTTGTATTCCCCCCTCTTAAACTGGCACGATGTTCACTCACCAAAACAAGTAAGATGAGTTTATCTTGCTACAGTAGATAATGCAGGTCATTTTGGTAATAACAAAATTCAGGTGAGATCATCTAAGAACATTTCATTAAAGGAAGAAAGAATCCTCAAGCTACCAAAACTGGGAATATCAAAGCTGTCTGTTGTTGACAAAAATGTGGCTTCTTCCTAGAAGTTTTGTCCTTGAAATTTGATGGTGGTGTGTGAGTTTTGTGTGTTGCCAAACAGAAATATGCAGAGCCTATGCAAGTTTACGTGCTGCTTGTAAAGAGGAAAATACTTTGAGGGACAGTGGAAAATTCATTTGTGAATGTGTACCTGGGATGTAGGATTAGTGCATGGTTTAAACAGAAATATAGTATTTGCAGGAAGATGAGCGTGGGGGTAGAAACTTGAATTCCCTGCTCTGGATTTCGAAGAGGAAGATGAAGCTAAGAAAAAGGGATGTGTCAACTGACATCTTTATGAAGCAAGAAGATCCTTCCAAGCAGGAGAAGAAAATTCCTGTTGGAAAATGACAATGTAAAGACTTTCAAGACTGCAGTGTTGATATTAAATGCTATTGTCTTGGGTTAGATGAAGATAACATGATGTGCTCATCACGAGTGACACATCTCATCTGGAAGTGATTAATGAACACCAATTTTTTTTTTCCAATTTATTTTTCTGCATAAACTCTGAATTCAGTCAGACAGATATTAATGCGATGCAGTAAATTTGTGTACTGTGACAGAATACTCTTGTGCTAATCTTTTTTAAAAATCTAGTTTGGTGGGGTTTTTTTAAAAGATTTTCTACTTCATATGACTTGAAGTAGGAAGAATGTCAGGAAGAGGCAAGGGAAGGTTATAATGGTGACTGATAACCTCAAATGCTACATAAAGGAGATAAATACACTACACAAGCTTTATTTTAGAACCCAAGATTTTGAAAATAATACTAAGGAAAAAAAAAACCCAAATGCAGAAGCTGTTGTAGATGTGGCATGATGTGAGCAAAAATAAATGATTGTGTTCACCAACTAATGCCATACAACTCTGTTACCTGCAAGATGCATAAAAAAATTTGTTGTCTCTGCCATGTCTAAAACATAGCTGAGGCAGTGGTGCTGACATCATATTTGGGCACTATCTGTCAAAGAAATGGCCCAATCTGCACTGTAACATGTTCCTGCAACTGTGCGTGTGATTGTGTGAAGAACATACAGGCCTGAAACTCTAAACGGCAAGGAGGCAGCACTAACCAGAAAAATGTTGCAATTGAGCTTAGCTTCTTCCATTTAATCAGGTGTATTTTTTAGTGGAGCTAAATCTTACACCGATTGCCTGCCTCTAGAAAAATGTTTACATTAAGTAAAAACTTCTGTTAATTCTGCCCCAGTTTCTACTAGTAGCTTGAATAGCCTGCAGTATTTCAGCCTAAAAGGAGTCCCTGTCAACTTAGTAATGACCTCACTTGAATGGATTGAGGGTGGGAAGGGGAACATACCTGTGCACACTCCAACTTTGGGATGCTTTAGGAGAGCCTAGAAAAACTTTGGAAGGGTCTAACAACCTTCTGCTTGGGGAGAGCTTTTGAATTCCTAGAACGTGTGCAATTGGAGAAAAGATAACACGTGTCAGAAAGCAGCATCATATCAATTGTTCATGGAAAATTGGCAAAAGTTAAATGTGTTGAAACCATACACGTGTGTTTGTAAGAGGGTATTTGCTGTTGTGTGTTATCTCTGGTTTAATAGGTGCCCAAAACTGGAGCTGTAGACGTGGTCTCTTCAGAAGTGCTGTGAGTTAGGTAGATGTGTGCCCATAACCTCTTTAGCAGCAGCTGGTGTAGCTGACTTAGCTGTACTTTGATAACAACATGCTTATCCAAATTAATTATCAGCTATTGAATAGTAGTATAGTTTCTCCACTAAACCTCATCTTTTATGATGGAAACTTCTGGGTTTGGGCCCTTTGATAAATAGGGCAAGTAGTAAGATATTGGGAAGATATTGTTGAAAGTGATAGAGCAAACAATCCTTTGTGTCTTAAGGGGGGTTTAAAATTTTATATTGAAAACCAGTAAGCCTTATTATGCTCTTTTTTTCTTACTTAAGTGCCCAATACAAGAAATTATTTTACAAACCAACTTTTCTCCTGATGACTGAAATTGAAAGAAGTGTGTGTGTGTCTGTGCATGTGTGTGTGCATGTATTTCCATGTATATGCATGCCTTTTTCTTGAGTCATGAAAAAGTAAGATTTCATGATTTGGTTTATGAACTGGGCGAGTTGTTGAGCTATTGAGGGCAGAAATGCATGTTTCCAGGCTAACTTGAATCTCTTGTTAAAGATACACTATCCCTGAAGGGTGGGGTTTTTTTGAGTTTTTGTGTTTGTTTTTAACCAGTCTCCTAACTAGATAACGCATAGCTAGAAGAGTACTGGGAATTTTTTAGGAATACAAATTCCCACATAAATAATGTCTTCCCCACCATGGCATGAGTCTTCTGAGCATTTCCTTTTTAGGTTTAAATACCAGTACTCTGCCTTTAAAAACACTCCTATTTTAGAAAATGCAATGAAAAGTGTGGTGGAGCTTTTAAAGCTAAGATCTGTTTTATTCAGTAGCTGCTTGATTAATGAAACTGATTCAGAATTGAGATCAAAAAGGTCTTTGCTTTTAGAGACGTTATATACAAGATTTTCCTTAGAAAACTGAGTCATATTTAAGGTCCATCCCCACCCCCCTAATTCTCTTGTGAACAGCTGAATTTGTTTTCCCAGTTGCATAGTAATGCTTGTGATGACCTTTATTTCATGCTGGCAGTCCTCCATGCTTTTAAGTTACACAGAACTTGAAAATACAGCTATGTTTATCTTCTTACCTTGTTAGGCTTGCTGCTACTTTACATTCTTTTAGCCTACTGTTACTTAGAAAAATAATTTTAAAATTGCAATTAATTCAGGGAGAATTCATTGAAATAGGTGTCTCATTTTAAATCTGGCAAACAGAAAATGTTGGCAGTAATTAATAAAATTTTATTGTATGATTCTACAATAATTTCTGTTAAACTTCTAGTGACTTGGCTATATTTACAGCATGTGCAAATCTAGGATTTGGCAAATCCTTTGTGATTAATAGTCTTTTATCCACTATCCTCTTTACGAGTCAGATAAAAGCATAAGGCTTCCATAATGCGTGTTTGTGTAGGGTTAGGGAAACAATTTGGAGGTAGATGTGTTTGTCTTGAAGCATGAGAATTGATGACGTGCAATTTCAAAATATGGTTTTAACATAATAATATGTCTAATCGCTTCTTTGATCATACTAACACATGTGTTTCTGCTCAAGTTTTATCTTTAACAACAGAGCTACAAATGATAATGTGTTTCTTTAAGTGAGGAGCTTGATGCAGAGGGCAAATATTAACTACAGTAAACATTTTTCCTTCTAGCTTACAGGCTGTACACCGTAGTCCCTCGATTAGTGAAGTTTGTTGATATTCTGACCAACTGGTATGTTAGAATGAATCGTAGAAGACTAAAGGTAGGTATCTACTTCTGCATTCTTGTACTGTAAACAAAATCCTAGTAGTCTATGTTAATGGATAGTAGCTTCATGGTGTTACACAAAATCTTTGTACTGCATTTTAAATTATATATCAGTTTGTACCTGATAGTGGGAATGAGAAGTTAACATTTTCTTCCTCCTCTTTGCTTTATGAGGAAAACCAAACAAACAAAATGCCCAGTAATTCTGTTTCAGTTGAGCAAAATTAATACAGTCTGGAAAACCAGTTTATTGCATTAACATAGGAAATTTTTGAAGGTTATTGAAGTGCACTTACTGATCCTAAAATTGCAGTTGTTGGTTTTTTTTTCTTGGTGAATTCTTCAAATAGGGCGAGAATGGGACTGAAGATTGCATTATGGCCTTGGAAACCTTGTTCAGTGTGTTGTTCTCCATGTGCAGACTTATGGTAAGGGAATTACAGCCCACTATAACTATTTGACATTTTTTATGTAGTTAATCTAAAAGCATGCATCTTTGTGTCTAAGTTGACCATAGAAACTACGGGTACAGAGACTGAACACATGGGGAGAAAACCATATTGCTACCGATTTGTGCAGCACAGTTAATTTTCCACCTCCCCCTTTTATTTGCTTATCTGCCCCATGGTACTATAAAGATGACAAATATCAACTGACTGATCAAGAGACATTATGACTTCTTATGTGATGCCCAAAAGTAACATGTAAATATCAGGAAGGAGGTGAATAAGTAGTAGCAATTTCATAATTTATTTCAGTCTGTATTTTGAATAACATCACAGTTCTGCACTGAAGACACTGTGTAAGCATTGTTTTTGCTGAACTGTCCTTATGCAATTCCTAAGTATTACTGACTCATAACGTACAAACAATAAAGAAAAGATGATGATTGAATGCAACATTGCAGGCACCATATACTCCATTTATCACTGAGCTGATGTACCAGAATCTGAAGACACTTATTGATCCGGCCTCGGTTCAGGAAAAGAATACTGAAAGCATCCACTACCTCATGCTTCCCCAAGTGAGGTAAGAGACAGCTGTTATGTGGCAAAATGGGGATTTGGGTTGGTCAGGTTTTGGTTGGCTGTTGGGTTTTTTGGGTTTGTTTTGGGTTTGGGGTTTGGTTTGGTTTTTTTTTGTCTTTTCACAGAACAGTGCTCCTTCACTTACTTGTGTTTAAAAGTGTTTTGCGTGACAAGAAAACAAGCTGCTTTAATAATGTGAATATTTTTTTTGCCTCAGAATTTTAGAATGATAGTTAACATGTTCTTTTCTCTAAGCAAAAACTGTTTAAGTTTTGATTAAGCTCTGATTAATGTTAGTCTCTGCTGCAGGAAAACATTTCACTAGCAGTACACTTCACACCCCACTCTCAATGTTAGCTGGGAATTTTCTTTTCCCTCCACATTATTGCAGTTTAACCTGGCAGGCAACTAAACACCACACGGCTGTTTGCTCACTCTCCCCCTCCCCAGTGGGATGGGGGAGAGAATCAGAAAAAGCAAAAAAAAAAAAAGTAAAATTCGTGGTTGAGATAAAGATAGTTTAATAGGACAGGAAAGGAAGGGAAAATAATAATAGTAATATGCAAAATAAGTGATACACAATGCAATTGCTCACCGCCCGCTGACCGATACCCAGCCAGTTCCCAAGCAGTGATCTCTGCCCCTCAGCCAGCTCCCCCCAGTTTATGTACTGAGCATGACGTCATATGGTATGGAATAGCCCTTTGGCCAGTTTGGATCAACTATTCTGGCTGTGCCCCCTCCCAGTTTCTTGTGCAGCTGGCAGAGCATGGGAAGCTGAAAAGTCCTTGACTAGCATCAGCAGTACTTAGCAACAGCTAAAACATCAGTGTGTTATCAACAATATTCTCATGCTAAATCCAAAACACAGCACTATGCCAGCTACTAGGAAGAAAATTAACTCTATTCCAGCTGAAACCAGGACACATATTTAGGCAGTAGACTTGTGCTAGGTTAAAGGATTGTAGATAGGAAGGAAAACAATTAGAAGGAATGCATGTTCCTAACTCATAATGTTTTCTTCTTATGGTGGGCAAGGAATATCCTTTTTACCCTTCAAAATGTGTGCTGACTAGAAGCTATAATGCCTATCTGTGAAGGGCCCAAAAGGATTATAAAACTTCCTTGTGGGCCCTACGCTTGCAAGAACATGCGCATCCCCCCATCTCTGGGCCTTTCTTAGTGAACGCTGATGCCAGATCCCATGTGGATTGGAGTTACTACTTTGTGTGGACCGCATAGGGAGCCAGCAGAGTGAGTTCTTTTGGCTTCAGATCAAGAATTTAGGCCATTGCTCAGAGATTGCTACTTCCTTGTAATCGTATGAGAGCGAGCACTTTCCAGACAGATCCTTTCTTTGGATGCTGATGGGTGAGGTTTTTTTGTAAGTGCCAGTGTGTCTCAAAAAGATTTGGGTCCGTGATAGTTGCACTGGACATATGCTCTGGGTTATCCATAGCATCAGCTCAACCCATGTAGACCTTGACAACTGAAGCTGGTTTGGTTGGGGTTGTTTTTGTTGTTTTGTTTTGTTTTGTTTTTTTTTTAATCGAGCTGAGGGAGACACTAGTATTACAGTAATTAGTTGCTCGTCAGTGCCTTGATGCTACCTTAGTGGATTAATTTAGTGCCTGCATTGCAGTCTGCTGTTAGTCACTAAATGTAAGAGAAGCAAACTTTCCTTTTGCATTGCAGCTCAGTTTGAAAACCCTCAAGGACAAGGGAGCTGACCTTGATACTTTATGTGCCAGTTTAAAAATCTAGACCTTCTAGTAATGGTGTTTCTTTTATGGATACTATATCCTTTGAGGAAAGTGCGTGTTCTTTCTGATAGCTTTAATAGTGAGGGTTACTGCAACAAGGAGTTTGAGATTGACATAATGATGGTGCTGATTTTCTGTTTCCTGGGAAAGTGCTGTAAAGAATATGTAATCAAAGAATGCAAAACTCATCAGTGAGCTATCAGAAATGGTTTTGAGCTCCTGTAGAATGGAGTAATGGAAGGATAGTGAGCTATTTGCAGGAATGCAGTTCAGGCATGGGCTTAGCATGAGCGTTTAAAAGTGGCTTAGTCCCTTTTTATTCCTGTTAGTGTTAACTGACTTGCTGCTGCATCATGCAAACATATGATGTATTTGAGTGGCTTGCATGGCTTTCCTGTCTTGTACTTTGTTTGGATTTTTGTCTGCTACTAGTTTATGTAACTTACTGGATGCCCTACATATCAATTGTTCCCTTCGTCAGATAAAAAGACATGTTTTCAGAACTAAATTATTGTTGAAGTTTTAGAGTTTCACCTTCACTTGCTAAGGACATCATCACATTTTTCTTTGAATCTTTTTCTGATGACTGCATAAGGACAATATTGTCAGTTAATAAGAAGAATTTTTTGATGCAGTTAAAGAAAATACTATTTTAGCAATATGATGGGTATGTACAGATAAAGCTAAGGGACTTGGCCACTTTCACAGCTGAACTTGACTCAATACCTGTGTTACAAACCCCACTGAGCTATTACTTTGTTGCTTAGTGTCTGAACAGATTGGTTGCATTAAATTTTGTGGATGTGCATGCAATCTGTGAAGACTATTCTCATTTTGTGGTTCCCCAATGTTGTTAAGTAATGGCAAGTAACACTGAAATACTGCCACATTATACTATATGAATCTTTCTGGGAGCAAAATCTTCTATCTCACAATTTACACATTTCTAAGTTTTTGGAGGACCATCCTGAATGACTGGGTTTTGGAAGAAAAAATGCTTCAAAATAGGTAGTTAACATCTTAATCAAAGCCCTAATTGCAGAAGATGGAGGTGGAGGTAATTCAGTTGTAAGTTTTGCTTTACCAGTTCTGTTTTTCTGGACAATCCTTATTGGATGCATAGTTTTCATCCCAGTACTTCTGCTACATATATCACAGCAAGCAACATTGTTCGTTTTATTCACTACTCTCTTTTGAACCAGTACCTCTGGTCTTGATATGTCACTTGTGCGGTTTTAAAGGAGCTGCTCAATTTATGCAGCTACTCAAGAAATCAAGAAAACCACACTTTCAGAATTGTTGGCTGCTAGTACACTTGAAACAAGATGTGAATGTCAGCTTACTCAAAAAAATCAAACAGCACCCCTCCCCCCCAAAAAAGGCAAAAAAAACCCCACAAACCCCAACCCTGCCTTGCCTCAAAATGGAAGGGTGTTAAAATGATGAAGCCAGGAGAAATGATGAAGCTGGGAAAGATGACAAGACTGTCTAAAACATCGAGCTAAAATATCTAAAATTCCTGGAAAAGGTTATAAATTGAGATCCAGTGAGTTGGTTGCATTATAGGTGTTTCATTGTCATTGTAAGTATCCTATTTATAATAACTTTTTGCATCTTCTTATGATGATACTAATGTAAATTTTACTTTTTATTGTATATTAATAGAATAGGTAGTATGACTCAATCCATCATCTTCATCTTGTGATAGGTGCTAACAAAAGATGATTTACAAATAGCTCTGTTTTTTGTTTTCAGCAAGTTATTTCCTCGTCATCTTCTGTACAAAAAGAGAGAAGAAAAACCTGTTTGTTCTTTTTTCAAATTGCCCCAAATAGCGCATAATTGAGTCTCTAATAGGAAATTTCAGAGAAGGGGGTAAAATGTTTTCAATCTGCTCAAACAGATACAATGAAAATGAAGCAATATAATGTTTCCTTTTTAATCTAGGGAGGATCTCATCGACAGAAAAATTGAAAGTGCCGTTTCTTGTTTGCAGTCTGTTATTGAGCTTGGACGAGTGATCAGAGACAGAAAAACCATTCCAGTAAAGGTTAGAAATCTTTAACACCTCTTATCAATACCCTAGGAATGTGCAATAGCTTTCTAACTTTGGGATGAGCCTGGGAAAATTGAATAATTAAGTTTGGAATAGCAAACAGAGTTCAACAATAAAATACTTCAAATGATAAATAATTTCTGAAGTTCTTTATTTTCAGCTTATTTTCTTCTTCTCCCCAGTATCCTTTGAAAGAAGTAGTTGTTATCCATCAGGATCCAGAGGCTCTGGAAAACATCAGAAGTTTAGAGAAGTACATACTCGAGGTAAGAACATCATCAACATGATACTTAACTGGATTGTGTATATCAGTTACCTAAATAAACAAAACCCTAACCTTCCATGTTGACGATATTAATAACTCACTAGGTAAAGCTAATCTAAAAGAGAATTGTAATGAAAGAGGATATCACTGGGTACTGTATACAGAAATGAAGGTAAATGGGTGATGATCCTTAGGTAGTCAGTTGTATTGAGAAACACTTAATTGCTCAAACTGACCACAGAAGACTTCTTTAATGTATAAGTAAGAAGCTATTAGAATTATTCTTTTTCTTGATCAGTGAAAGGAAAAAAACATTTTCTGAATGAAAATAAGACAATATTCAACTACATGTTGTCAAAGACATGGACTGCAAAATTTGTGACCTCCTTCAGTTAAAGGGCATTAAAAACAGTTTGACAGTAAGTGGAAGGGTTGATGGAGAGAAGGAGTTCCATGTAAGGGAGAGTAGGGGACCAGTCAAGATTTTAGCAGGATGTTGTTTAGGATGTAAAATGTCAAATAAATAAGATGTTAGTCTGTACAATTTCTTACACTCATCTGCTCCTGTTTGCCACTGCAATACTCTCTTAATGTGTGTCTATTAGAGAAATGCAGTCTGCCCTACTTCTAAATCTTTGTTTGGATAAAATCCCCAGCATTCAAAAGAAAAGTAACCCTTCTTGGTTTTTTGAGTGTAACTTCCTGAAATTGGCTGCACTTTCTGCTTTTAGTCAGTCATGTAAAAATCCATAGTATTTTAAGAAGTTAAATGAAAAAGGAGTTTGTTTATAAATAAACATCATTTATTTATTTGTTTATACTATAAATAAATCTTTTAAACTTCAGTAATGCATTTCAGAAGTTCTAGTGAAGGCACAAAGCATATTACTTTTTGATTGCTTAAAAGACTGTTTGTAGAGTGGACTTTTTTTAGTCTTTATGTTCAATTAAAGTTCATTACAACAGACTTTATATGCATCTTCTTTTTACATCTGTGATGTACAAGAGAAATCAAACAGTAAGAGGGAATAGTGAGAAGGAAGAGTGTTTCAGTTACAGTGATGAATTTCAATGAGCCATGGTGTTTTGATTCAAAAAGAAAAGGGGGGGGGGGGGGGGGGAGAAGCTACCATGCCATTATGCCTTTGAACTGTTTTCTAGGTGCTGGAGCCTTCAAAACATCTTGCAAACCAGTGGTTCTTAATACTTAAATCTGTCGTGATCATGCATTTGATATTGTGAGCTATGCTATGTGTAATTTCTCAGTGTTAGCAGCCGAGAGCCTTTATAATTGCTTTGCTGAACAGGTTGTTAGGGTAATAATATCTCCGTTGTAAGACTGGAGGCCTTTCAGAACCACTCTGGAAGGCAGTGAGGGAAGAAGGAAGACTTGTTAAGCAATGCTGTTCTTTCTGAACAGTTTTAATTTCCTTTTGCTGCAGTAGTCTCTTGTTGGGATAGATGATCACTTTTCACCCAGATGTTTCATTGTGTTGCCTGGGGAGATATGCCATAACTTCATCTTTGTAACTCTGCATGTTTTGAGGAGAAAGAATTGCATTTTGAATAGCAGCTCTTTTCTAAGACAGCTGAATTCTAAAGGAACTGATTTGGTGTTGATATTGGGCAGAATGCATGCATTAGACTTGAATATAAATTGAGGGTTACTTCATGACAATAATTCCTGTGTATTAATCTGTCTGGATTTTCACTTGACTCCTTGTGATTCAGCAAGGCAGAAAACACGCCAGCTTTTCTTTCAGATGAAAACTGAGGGAGTAGTCTTGCAAAACAAAATCACCTAGGTAGTTCAGATGATCTTCCCCATTCAAGACCTCCAGATAAAAAGGTTTCTGAGGAACGGATGCTAGCCTCAATGCAAGGTCCTTGTTAGGGAAGTTAAGTACAATGTAATACAAAAACTAACAACCCCCCAAAGTGTTGAATTCCTTTACTATTACAAGAGATTTCATATAGAAGTCTTAATACAGTTTCTGAATGCCTGTGAACTGCAAGCTTAGCCTTCTCATGTTTTGCCCTCTCACATCTATGCGTTTGAAACAATCTCTGTTTAAATGAGCAAAAACCAGAAGAAAAAAATTTTGAACAGCATTATAGTTGTACACTGCACAGTTTATGAAAGACTTCCTTCCCTTCCCTCCTGTGATAGCGTCACATCTGGAAAGGTGAGCCATAGGGTGTACTTTTCATTATCCTCTGAAGTCTGCCTTCTTTCTGTATTCAAAGTGCTTGTAGCGGATATACTAAAAACAGATTACTGTTACAACTTAATTCTTTGTTCTATTTTACCTCCAGTGTACTTCCCAAGCTACTGTCATATTACTGTATGGCTTCTATGTGTCCAAGTGTAGTAATTGGGTGGGAAATGTAGGGATTCTCCACAGTTCAGAGTGGTTCAGTTCCTTCAGCTCCATCCACAGCACTGAAGCTTTGAAGCTGACATTGCAGAGGAACTTTGTCTCATTTCTGTCTTCAGGAAATTCTTACTGTGTTGTATCACCTTAGGACCTCTGTACTTCTTAGACCTGATATAATACAGGACTGGTGGGTTCAGCAATCTGTCTTCAGTTTGTGTTTCTGTTTAATGTCCTCTGGATTATTAAGTAAAATGTATTTCTACTAATAATTGACCTTTGACCTTCCTGTCATCTTTCATTTGTCAGGATCTGTCACTTTCCAGATCAGTTTATATATGTTCATGACAGAGTCAATTCCAATGGCTGTACTAAGGCATGCTGGTAGTACACGAAGCATAAGGTTATGATGCTTTACATTTAATGGATTTTTTTTCTTCCATAAGTACTTGTAACATTTTGCATTCTTTAAAGCCAGTGAAATGGGTCTTCAAAGATAAGTGAGATAAGTTCTTTTTCTGTTATAATAACCACTGGCAGTACAGTATCTAAGAATTTTTTCCCTCGTCCAGAAATGGCATGGCTCTTATCATATGCCTGTCCTTGGTAGGTTAAGGATTCTTTCTTCCTTTCAATAAGGTATCTTCAGAGGGCTCTGTAACAGAAGATCTAGTCACATGCTTAAAATGTGATGGAACTTTTTTAGTTCAAGTTGTCATTGTCAAGATCAGCTGCTTTGCTTTGACAAAGAGAAAAAAAATCTGCATCTACCCAAGCAAGATCAACTCACCTCGCTTGTCTTGGTGAGAGCAACCATGTCAGTCAAAGAATCCAAGAGATGGCTGAAGCAGCAGAGGACCTCTTAAACTTCTAATTATGTATTACTCCAGCAATACCATCTCTCCCCAAGCCTAAATATACATCTAAGGAAGGCTTCTAAAAATTCTGCCGGGGGCAACTTAAGAGCACTGGCTAAGGGAGTCATGGCTCAATGCACAAGACTTCTAGATCAGTGTTGTATGCTTCTTGCTTTTAGTTACCGTGGGACTTAAATTCTTAAGAATTGCGCACTAAAGGAATTTTAATTTAAAAATCTTAATTGATTTACAAGTGGGATTGTGAGGCTTTTCTGTCATGTTAGCTTATTGATTATTTCTCTTAGACTTGGCATTTAGGATGCTTCACTTCAGAATTGCTGCTATTATTAATCATTTCAATACCTGGATCTTTTCAATAGCAGAACTTTGTGAAATTTAGGTTAGTGTCTGTCACATTTTCTTGATCTGAAAACTGGATTTGTGGATTTTACAGAATCCAATTTTAAGGGAGCTGAGGTTTGCTTACTCAAATTACTTCCAAAAAGGTAGCTGACAAAATTTGCTGTGAACATCTACAGCTAGCAAAAAGTAACAAAGGAACCTAACAATTTGATAAATTATTACGTAATTGGTTTGTACAGAAGCATGCTTTAATTTATATTCATTGGCTACTGCAAACAAAGTTAAGGTATGTTGTATGGGGAGATGAGTTTCAACAAACTCTCAAATACCTTAATGGAAGCACAAATACAAAATACTGTCTATTGTCCTATTTTTATTATGTATCTTAAAATTCCACAAGCTGATGCTTGATGTGTTTTACTGTATTGCATAGCAATCAATCTAGTTGTTTACTAGGATGGTTCAGAGCTAAAGAGGTCAATGAATACAGGCAGACTGGGTGGTATTACTTGGGCTGTATTTGCATCTTTGTTCATGACCCTCCTACATATTCAGAACTTTAGAACCTTTAGTTATTGCCAGAAGTGTGTTTCTAGTAAATTTGCAGGTGCCAGAGGTAATCTGTAAGAAAAATTACACCATTTGATTTCATGCAGTTGCTGACAAAAGAATTTGAAAAATACACTTGTCAATTCTTCAAAAATTTCGTTCATCACTTTTTCAGAAGGCTGTAGTCTTTGATTTGCAGTCTTATTTTCTCCTCATCAGAACATAGCACATCATTTTAATAAATGGATTTTATACTCTGGACAGTTCTAATGTTAGAGTTGTCATACAAAAATGGCCAAGCTCACAAAATGAAATAAATCCAGAAGGCTTTTAGCAGCTGAATACAGTTGCATTTTATTCATTAGAATTTGAGGCCTCTTACAAGCCTAGTTCAGGACTTCTCTTTCTAACTACTTCAAGTGAAAGGTTTTATCTGAGTAAGCTTTACTCTAAGTACAATCAGAATCTTGTCTGCATCCAACTTTGTATATCCTTCAACCCCCACCCCTATATATGGCTATAATAAAACAGAGAAAATTGACTTCTTCATCAAACCCAAGGTCTACCAGTATTTCATAATGCTAATGGTGTTACAGTAATGTAGCAGACTGAGTACATGAATGGGCTGAATTAGCTGATGCATGAACTGTGGCAGCATGTGGTCCTTCAGTATTTTGTTTCTTACAGTATTGCATAATCAATATTTATTTTCTGGTTTAGGATGTTCGCCTAGAGAGCCCAGCCCAGCTGAAGCACAGCACTGGCATTTCTCTGTTCTGAGAATTGGATGTAGTTGTGTTACCGGTCAATCTGATCATGTCTGGCACATGGTACCAACTAAAGGCCCTTGTACATACAAAAGCCTGAATGTACAGGTCTTCCTTCTGGTGATGGGAAGGACTGGTTGCTTCAGTTCATGTGTATCAGACTTGAAAGATGGGTTAAGGACCTAATTTTGGTTTACTGGGAAGATAAAATTAAGAACTATTTTAAGTCAAAGCACTATATTGAGGCAGATATAAACAGATCTAAGATACAGACTTGTCTTTTTTTGAAGACTCATTCTGGTTTTTTAATTGATAATGTATACAGAAGAATGGTTTCCTAATCTAATTAGTATAGAAAACTTGTCCTGATGCAGTTGGCTTGTATGTAATTTATCTAATCAGGCCCAAAGTCATCTTTCAATTTGTGCTATTTTTTGGATTATAATTTCTTTTTCCCCATGAGGTTGTCATTTACCACTTGTGGGCTCATTTCCAACAGCACCCCATTAAAACTGAATTTCTGAAGCACATAATTTTCATTAGAAATCCTAAAAGATGTATTAAATAAAATTAGATTCAGCTGTATTCTTGGCTTCTCATGTCAGTAGGACTTCCCAGGGAATTAGACTGTAGCTCAGAGGTTGTATCTAAGCACTACTTCTCAGTCTAAATGTCTGGCTACTTGCTAGTCCTGTCACGTTGATGCTACTATTTACTTCTGCTCCCTAAATGATTTGGAGTAGCTCCCTTGCCAAATGCACTTGGTGATTCTGTATGACGTTGATGTGAACTCTAACAGCCTTCTAGTGGAGATTTAAACACAAAATGCTCAAGTATTGGGCAGTCTGATGGACAAAACCTGCCAAATTCTAGTGAAATGTGCTCCAGATATGTGCAGGTTTGTACCTGTAGAAGAGTTGTGTGTTGGCAATTAAAATTCTCCAAGATCTGTCCCTGGTACTTTGCACCAAAAAGAGAGAGACTGTGCAAAACTGGAAATTTAGGTAGGTATCAAGTCCTGCCTTGTGTGTGTTTCTTACTTAGCTTTACAAAGCAGGGAAAAACTAGACTCTCTTGAAGACATAAAGTAACACTGGGATACAGTTCTCTTATTTACAGGAGGTATACCAGGCCATTATTTCTTGGTGTTATTAATAACATGTGTAATGCATTTGTTTGTTGGACAGAATTAAGGGTAGAGCAGAGAGGTTTGCTGTGTATTTTCAAGTTTGTCATTGTATGGTGGTCAGGGTTTGCAACAAAGGAGTTTTTTTTTTAAATGGTGGTTTTTAATGTGCTTATGTGATGAGGAAAATATTTGTAATTAAGAAAGTAAGAAATTACTTAGTGGTTTAAACTCATAGGTCATCTAGCACATTGTGCTGTCTTCTGCAATGGCAGAGTCCATTTAGAGAAAGCACGAGCATCTGGCCACTTCTTGCAGTAGACTCCTGTCATAGTCAGCCATCTGCAGCTATTTTATTAAAGATACTCAAGGGCACATGCCTGCCTATTCCCTTTAACATCTTTTCATGTGCCTACTATTATGAGCTTAATTCCTTTTTGAACTTGGTGGTACACTCCTGCTTACCTCCTCTGGTGGCATTAAGTTCCAAGGGCTAACTACTTGTTTATCTCTCTTGAACTAATCTCTTACTATTTTCACTGAGTGCTCTCTTACTTGAGAGGGGTTATTTGGGGATTTGGTCAATAACAGTTTTACATTCCTTACCCACCTCCTTCATAACCTTTTAAATTTCAATCATACCCCTCTTCCACTTTCTTCCTTCCAAAGAGTTCCAGCCTTGATCTTTCCTCATATGGTGGTAACATTGTTCTCTTAAATCGGTTGTTCTCTGAAACCTTCTACAGCACCACTCTATTCCCCTTCAGATACAAGGACAAAAACTGCATGCATTACTCATAAAACATGGGCACACCCCAGTTTCTGTAGTGGTAAAATAACATCCTTGGTCTAGGGCCCCTCCTGAACTTCATGCAACCTTTATAAGCTTTTGGCTGCCCCTGCACACTGATCTTCAGACTCGTTGTGCTGCAAAGCATAGAAGTGTTTCTGAGCAATGTGTTTTTCTGTACAGTAAGGACCTAGAACAAACAGATAAGGAAAGAGACAAAATGAGGCAGTAGCATCTGTACAACTTAAAACACAAAATTATCAGTTATAGTTTTCTGGCTAAATGCATACTGAAAGGAGTATTTCAGCAAAATTTTTCTTCCAGAATTTTGCCAGGGCATTGCACACATAGGTAATAGTTTTATCTTTTCAGGCAGTTGTAAGAGTAAAGTAAAAAAGGTTGTTGAATAGGGATCTGACTTGAGTTGAGAGCTGACTGGTGTCTATTAATAACAGAGAAATGTCTATGTAAAGGCTGAGGAGGAGGATGGGCTCTTCTGCTGAAGGATAGTTTCGGTATTGGTTGGGTTTATTTGCTCTTGCAGTGTTGGCAAATTACTTAGTTCACAGAGACAACCATATAACAAATTTGCAGCTTGAGACTTACGACTTTCCTAGTGCTGTGGCCCCTGGTTTTGTACTCTTTCCACAGTTGTCAGAGATGGCTGTTCTGTAGCTTCATTTTTTCTTCTTGGTGTATTTATATAGGAGCTTAATGTACGTCAAGTGACATTATCTACTAATAAAGATAAATACGGAGTCCAGCTGAGAGCAGAACCCGATCACATGGTGCTTGGGAAGCGTTTGAAAGGTGCATTTAAGCTTGTCATGGCTGCAATCAAAGAGCTGAAGAGTGAGCAGCTGGAGGAATTCCAGGAGACAGGTACATAGTGGCACAAACCACTGAACGATGGCAATGTTAACCAAAAAGAGAGATCCAAGATCCTTTGGCTCATCAGAAAAAAAAAAAATCAAGCAATTGCACTTGATTTGCGTATATTAATCAAGCATTTGCAGGAACAGATGCAAAAGTATCCTTCTGTGGGCTTAGGGAAACTTAAGGCCTACTTCCCAGTTTTTATTAGTATTTAATTTTATGTTAATGTGTCGTGGTTTAGCTCCAACCAGCAGCTAAGCACCACGCAGATGCTCACTCACTCCCCCTGCCCTGGTGGGATGGGGGAGAGAATCGGAAGAATAAGGGTGAGAAACACTCCTGCATTGAGGTAAGAACAGTTTACTAATTGAAATAAAATAAAGTAAAATAGTAGTAGTAATAGTAACAATATAATAATAATAATAGTAATACTAATATACAAAGCAAGTGATGCACAATGCAATTGCTCGCCACCCACCGACCGATACCCAGCCAGTTCCCGAGCAGCGATCGCTGCCCCCTGGCCAACTCCCCCCAGTTTATATACTGAGCATGACGTCATATGGTATGGAATAGCCCTTTGGTCAGTTTGGATCAACTAATCAGTTTGGATCAACTATTCTGGCTGTGCCCCCTCCCAGTTTCTTGTGCACCTGGCAGAGCATGGGAAGCTGAAAAGTCCTTGACTAGTGTAAGCAGTACTTAGCAACAACTGTGTTATCAGGATTATTCCCATGCTAAATCCAAAACACAACACTGTGCCAGCTACTAGGAAGAAAATTAACTCTATCCCAGCGGAAACCAGGACATAATGAGAATAAGAGAAAAGTTGTTTGTATTATTTTGCAGACAGTAGATTAGAAGAGGCCATGTATACTAATCTTACACTGTTGTCCTGTTTAAGTGCTATTGTATGGCCAAAATGAAGTAGAGAATAAACTGTTCTGTAAGACAGAATCAAATTTGAACTGAGTATATGTGCAGTAGTTTCTATGCTAAAAGCATTGCTTCAATTCCAGATGTACTGGTGGGTGTAAAGTTTCCAGCTCTGTCTGTTTAGTTAACTGCTTGAATGTAAATTTTGATGTAGTTGAGTATAAAGGTTATTTTTAAGTTTTATTCCATTTCATTCAAATGGTACACAAACAGTTGCTGAAGCATCTGCACTTGAGTGAGTTCTGCTGCCTGTAGAAGTGCTTGTATGAAAACTTTGAATGTGGGAGAGTTCAGTGTTCCTTGCTGGTGCTTAACGGCTGTTTAAATGTATTGCAAATATATTGCATTTCAAATATTTGAAGATTGATACTTGCCTTAACCTTTTTGAATTAAAAAAATTTTTTTTTGCTCTGATTGTAAGAGATGCTCTTCATCTGCCAATTCTGCAGGCACCATTGTTGTAGAAGGACATGAACTCCATGGGGAAGATCTTCGTCTCATGTATACCTTTGATCAGATTGCAGGAGGATCTGTCCAGTTTGAGGCACATTCCGATGCTCAGGTATTTTATTGGTTGGGTTTTTTTTGGTTTTGTTTTTGGTGTTGTTGGTTTTTTTTATTAAAGAAAGAGTTCCTTCAGAAGTAATATGAAAATGGTGAGGTGAAAGCTGGGGTGGTTTTGTTCAGTCAGTTAGTTCAACAAATTCCAGGAGCCTATCTTCTGAATTTTGGAGATGTTAAAGTACTCCATTCAGCAAGGTATTTTGTAAGTGAGGAGCTCTATAAAAATGTACCTGAGCTCCTGAGTGAGTTAATACTAGCTTGTTTCAAGTTTGTTATCTATTCAACTGTCTTCTGTGCATCACCTCAGGTTTTAGTTCTGCTAGATGTTACCCCAGACCAGTCCATGGTGGATGAAGGAGTTGCCCGGGAAGTGATTAATCGCGTCCAGAAGCTTCGCAAAAAGGTTAGGAAGCAATGGTTTGGAACAAGACATTTTAATTTACTTTTAAGCAATCTTTGGGCAAAATGCAGCAGAAACTGGCCTTTGTAATTAAACATGAAGCCCTGTATCATTTACTCCTAATATATAGGTTTCTGATTGGATGTAAGTGATTACAAATAATTATTTTCATTTTGCATTTCATACTACTTCGTAGCTAAAGTTGAACAATGAGCTTGCTGTACATCATCCATAGTGAATTAACTAATTTATTTATTTTACTGAGCCCCTCTTGTTTTCTATCTTCAGCCACATAGCAGTGGTTCAGTCCTGGTTAAGCAGCTCTCAGGCCTGCCTGCCTCCTGCTGAGTATTACGTTCTGTTCTGTCTCGGTTCTGGTCCCGTCAGCTGGGCTGGTGAGAGCCGAGACATCTGAGCCTAGGACTGCTAAAAGAAGCAAACTCATGTCTTAACAAATTGCAGGAGGCGTTTCTGGCACCGATTTGTATACCTACATTAATGATTCTGTTCTAAATTGTTCTTACTGTAGGTACAAATGATGCTGTCTGAACTTATGTTAAAGCACTTTGAACCAATGTAACTTCCTTCTCTCTACAGTACTAATTCAGAAAGAGCTGCACTCAGTATCTCCATTTTGTGCCAAGAGAGCATGGTCACCATGGAGGTGATGATAAGTCAAAAAAGCCTTTAATCTGGAGAGGACATTAAGTAATATTTAGCTTGGTATAAAGGATTCTAAAGGTTTCAGAACCTGCAAGTTAAAAAAAAAAAAACAAACTCACAAACCAAAACAATCCCCTGTCCCTTCATGCACATAGACATTGCAGGTGTGGAATGTGTTGTTCTATGATATATGTAGGGTTTTCCTACTTGACTAACTTGGTGGCAGTGCGCTAGAATTTCTATCTTTTTCAGACTTATGCCTGAAGAAATCCTGCAAGAGCTCTAAATGATGTGTAGAGAAAAATTTCATGGGACATGTTTTTGGGAAAAGATATCTGTACAGTTAAGACTGCATGAATCTTCAGTATAAGACTGAAAAATGGCAGATTTGTACCAAAGTAGTTAGTTATGCACACACACACACATATATATAAAAAACCCTATATGGATTTATATCTGTATAAAATAAAACCAGGAAGGATTGTGGCCATGAAAAGAAAACTCTCATAAGTTATTGGATTATTTGAATTTACTTCTGTAAGGACATAAGGTCATAATTTATTTTCTCTTAAATGAATATCAAACACTGAATCTTGCCTAATAATTAACATGATGCTAATGTGCATTTATTCTGTCATTCTTTCATTCCCACTCCTGTTATAAAAGTGTACATGTAATAAAAAACATGGATTCTGGATCCACAGTAACTATTACTGGTGTTGGGATGGTCATTATTTTTAGCAGATTTTAGAAATAAAGTTTTCTTGGTGCTGCTATTTTTTTTTCCTTGAAACCATTTTCTTGCTGAATCAGAATTTTGCTCTAGTTCAGCTTTAATAAGCGTACCACTCAAATTAATTGCTCTTTTTCTGAAGTATATGTTAGTATGTGAGATGTGGCAGAGCTAGCATGAAAACTTAAAAGCCTGGTCACCACCTTCCAAAATAATCCCCAAGTGTCTTGGAGACTATTGGGTTTGAGAAAATGTCACTGATTGAGCAGTTGTTCAATAAAGAGCTGAGGGTTTAATTTCAGGCTAACAGGATGTGTAACTGCTAATAAAATTCTCTCATGCATCAAGAGAAGCTTTTTAATAAATTTGGTAGGCTTTCAGTTCACTAAGGGGAAGAGTTGGTAAACTAGTTTGGAAGTGAGACATTTTGAGTAAGGTACAGTATTTGATCATTATCTTTTGAAGAAAACTCACCATGTTTCAAGTCTCTTTCTTGCCCTTCTGACAAAATAATTGTTTTATTCTAAATATTTTGTGGAAACTTCTAACAAATGTCTGGTATCTTTCTAAGATACTTTTTTTCTTTAACTTAACAAGTATCCTTTTAATTTGTATATGTGAAAATCATCTTGCTGTCATTAATAGTATCTTTGGTGTATCCTACAGCGAAATCTGGTTCCTACAGATGAGATTACAGTGTACTACAGATCACATCCAGAAGGTGACTACCTGGATACTGTTATTAAGGAACATATGGATTTCATTTTTGCAACAATAAAGGCTGCCCTGAAGCCTTACCCAGTGCCTACCTCAAAAGAAGTTCTCATCCAGGAAACAACCCAAGTAAGAAGGAAAAAGCATTGACTGCATAGTTCATTTTGTTATCTGCTTTTAACTGAATGAAGTGCTTCAATTGCAGAGAAATTGTATGTCAATATTTATTTGTGGGATATAGTGGATATTGTTTCATATTTACAGATTTCCAAATTAGTCTTTTTGGTTTAAAAAAGAAAATAGTTGGGCCCTGTACATGTAGTGTTTTTGAAAATGAAGCTGCTTGGCTACCAAAATAAATATCTTCGGTAGTCATTTGTGTAAGCTTAATACACACAGTTATTTGTTCATTGCTTAGACAGCAAGAATGTTGTTGTTCTGATTTAATTAAGTTAATATGCTTTTGTATTAGAAATGTTCTCCTTCTAAGCAAAAAGGCAAAATTTAGCCTCAGACCAACTTCAGTTATTAATGTTTGATGATGCTTGTTTTTTCGCCCCCATATTGCTGAAGTTCAGTTGTTTGTAACAATGCAGTTTTGCAGGCTGGCTTATACTTTCAGCAGCAGATTTGAACTATTTCCTTTGTTTTCTTTAACTGTTTCTTTTGATGTGTTTTGAGAACGCTTTTGCATTCAAAAGGCATTCCTAGCAGAATTTTGGATTAAATATTCTTCAATCTAAATGTCATGCTAGACCAGAAAGACAAGAACTTACGATATATCAGACTTAAAATTTGATTTACAGAATGGCTTGGGGGTCTGCGAATAGCTGAAAGGAAAGTGCGTATTTTATCCATCTTAATGTGCGTAAGGAAATGTTTTATGCTTATTAATTACACTTCTAAAGTTGGACACATTTGAAACAAAGCTTTGTTCGGCCTTTTTCAAAACTATTAGTTTAACCTAGTGACAAACAGGGAAAAACACTATGTGAAAATAGAGAGTTTTATGGTTAAGAAATCGGTGAAAATATTTTGCTACTTCTTCTAGGTACTTATTTGATTGGGATACTGCTGATGGACAGTTTGATGTTAAGTAAACATCAAATCTGAATTAGAATGTAAAAGCAGTTGGAAAAAATGTATAGTGCTGGGGAACACTTGTCTGAATGCCGGCCTCTGAAATTGCCGAGTACATGAGCTTTAATGTTGGTCGCTGTGTTTTTCCACGAAAGCTTTCATGCCTGTGCAAGTGTGGTTCCTCCCCACTATTAGTCTTCTGGTTTCTGATCTTAATTTAGCAGACTGTAGTAAAGAAAAACGTCGTGGAAAGCTGAAAGATGAGTCTATTGGATTAGTTTTATATAATGCTGTCTATGTAAAGATGAAGTCTTGCCCTGACAGAAGGTGCTGGTTATTATGCATACAATTCATAGCTGTTGTCTGGATGTCAGCAAAAAACAGACATCTGTTCAGTTTGGGAAATTATGAGCTAGTATGTACACCGGAGATAGGATGTTTGTGGGTCAGGCTATGCATTTGCACAAATGTCAGATTTCAGACTGTGTAAATCTAAAAAATTATAGCTGAAATAAGACTATATACAATAGACAGTTCTGTGTTGCTATTGCAATTGATAACTAAGTTTATAGAAATGTAATAATCTTGTAATGGCCATACAGCTGAGAGTGCTTACCTGTCAGCTTATAATGTGGGGCGTGGAGGTTTTTTCAAACAAAAGCATTAGCAGGGAGTTATTGCAAGTTCTGTGTACCGAAACTATATAGTTTATGTATGGTAAAGGGAGGCAAAGAAAAGCTTTGTAAGTAAATGCAGAGCTGTTTGTTATTATTTTACTTTAAGGGGTCCCAGTCACTACAGAGTTAATCTGTGGTCTTTGCCATGTCGGTTGCCTTCTGCACGTTTAAATGGTTACTGTGCTTACAGACTTGCTGTGCCTCTGAACTGTTAGTCACAGACTTTAAAATAGAGATTGCAGAGAGAAACAGGTGACTGAGATCTTAGTGCAAATGTTAAGTCTTCCTTGGAAGTCACGCTTCCTGGGGCTGTGGAGATGGATTGCTTAGGGCAGATGTTTGACTCTGTACTTTGTGTCCTGCTGCAACTAGCTTGTCACATTAAGAACAGTGAATAAAAATATCTGAAATGGAAAAGCCCATCTTTAGAAATCCTTTCAGTGTAGAAGCTTGGCTCTTTGTGGAGAGTTGAGGATTGCTGCAGCTGTGTGCAGTGAATTTGTAGTTTGCAGCAGACATGGCTATGGTTAGTCATCTGTATTAGTCGTAACTGCATTGCATTTTGTACTAGCAGTTTCAGGCACAGAGACTATGAAGATGTGAATTCAAATTGAATTATACATCAACTGTCATCTGTTGGGGGTGTTGATAAGCAGCATTGACATGGAAAATGCTTTACAGTGATGATTATATAGACGATTATATAGATTTTTCAGATATAAAAGCAGGTGCAAGTTAAAAGAATGAAGTGTGCAATTCCACACATGAGTTCATAAGTTAAGTCAACTGTGACAGTACCATTGCACCAAATTTCTGGAAGATATTAAAAGGAATAACAGGTATGCATGATGTTGAATATATGTGAAGACTGGGACAAAAATGAAATGCAGTCTGTCTGTTCTACAAGTATTTTGATTACATTCAGAATCAGTATTTCTGTGAAATTATCCTGGATCAGTTTTTGATACAAGGCTTTAAACTCTTCTCCCAAAGGAAGACAACAAAAAAAAAAAAATCAGCAGTTGCTCAGAAAATACTGGGAAGGAAAAGCAGCTACTTGAAAAATGAATTTTTAATTGCTGGTAGAATAGGATAAACACAAAATAGGATTTGCTGCTCCATAAGTGTCTTTTCCTACTTTGTAATAGGAGCTCAGCAAAGAGTGGCACTTCCAAGTTTGTCTGTTCACCCTTTGGACTCTGACTCTTACCAAAGACCGTCTCTGAATTTACAAAAAAATTGGCTTAAATGGCTACTTAGTACCAGTTGTTCATATAAGTGATTTCTGTATAATATTTGTTTAATTAAAAAATTTAATTAAGAGATCTGTTAAAGTGTGATTCTCATGAAAATTGGTATAGGTGCAGGAGTAACTCCAACCTGTACTTAGTTCAGGAAGAGACTTGTGCTTGAAAAAGCACAGTCTTAAAGCTAAGTCTGTTTCTGTAGTATTGCTACAGATTCTCAAGCCTCTTCATCCGGTCTCTCATTTGCAAAGGAAGATACTTGTTCCATTTCTTGTTGGGGTGTTTGAAGTTTTAATTGGTTCACTAGTTGCTAATGGGGAGATATTCACAAAGGCTGACTTGATATCAAGGCAGCTACTACCCCTGGCTGTTCTCCGTAGCCCCTTGGAGACAGATGAAGGCTTCTCCAGACAGCAACTGAGAGCAGCGTCCTGTCTTCAGATACTCCGAATTTACCTCTGGAAGAATCTTTCTCATTTATGTGTATTCACTTTTGGATTATATTTTTGGGAGACTGTCATCACTGCTCATCACTTGTGAAGATCAGGCTGTTTATTCCACTCTGTTTTTCCTATGTGCTAAATACTGCTATATCTTCAACTATAAAAGACAAATTAATATTTGAAGCTCTCTGTCTCTGAAGGAAGATGTGGCAAAAGTTGCTATTTTATTCTAAGTCATGTTTAGTATAAGATGATAAGATCTTAATGTTGTTTATTTAAGGAAAATATTTTGTTGTCTTTAATAAAACAATATTCAGATAATAATATTCTTCTTCCTTCAGTTGAAGGGATCAGAGCTAGAAATTACACTCGTCAGAGGTGGTTTGTGTCAGTGTGTTGGTCCAGCCTGTGCCTACGTCAACCTCAAAGTTTGTGTTAATGGGACAGAGCAAGGTAGGAATGTACGGGGTTTGATTTATCAATGGTGATGTTAAAAGATTGTTTGGAAAACAGTGTGATGAAAGTTGGAGCCATTGAATTTGTTTGAAAGATGGTGCAAACTCCCTTCCAATAGTAGCTTTAAATAATTCTTGAAAGTGAGTTTATTAAAAGCAAAACCAGATGTTGTCCATGATGTCTTCTGATGTGGACCTGAAGTAAATACTCAGGTGTGCATATGAATTACTTATATTCTTCAGAAGGGTTTGTATGTGAATATCTATATGGAGGCGTACATTCACCCATGCTCAGAGTGTGTACCTTCAGAATTTTTAATTCTTGATGGTAGTACTGTAAATATAGGTGATGCCTTTCTGTGGAGGAGATACTGTTTTTGAAAAACTTAAATATTAAGTATAGAACTGAAAGGAGTATTTAAACTAGAGAATACAATAACTATGTCTTAACTATAATCAAAAGATGAGTGCAGTTGTATTGTTAGAAGTATTACAAGGTTGAGTTATGTATCAAAAGGAGAGAAAACTAAATGCACTCTCTGGAATTTTTTTTTTTCCTACATGTGTTTACACTTTATGCATCAAAGTAAGCGTGCCTTGTTTAACATGGTTACAAAGCTACTTACTGAATAATAATGAACATAACTATGTAAGCTAGTGAACATGTCAGAGGGCACACAGTCTGTCAGTTTTTAATCAATATTCTACTGGATTATAATTCAGTGACATAAAAATTTGACTGTTTTGCTAATAAAAACAAATATAACTTCCATACTCTAAATCTGAAGTGCACTTGAGTATGTTTCCCTGTTTTCTTTCCTCTTT